AGCGCTTTCCCTTCTACAGACCATCACCATGACCCCTGTGTAGGGACCAGGTCCAGGCAGCTACAAAGCCCACCCTCAGTGGATGAGAGATGCGTAAATCAGCGGGGCTTTGGCTTGGTTTTTTGAATTTAGAATTGATGGAAAAATACCAAACTCAACAAGTGTGTTTATTTAGAAAGACTGATTGAACGGCTCCAGTTAGGCCTCTGAACACAGACAGAGCTGACGTTTGAGGTCTACTCTGCTGGACGGAAAGGGAGTGACTCCTTAAAAATAACCCCAGAAACAAAGGCCTGAGCTCAGACGGGGGCAGACAAGATGCCGCCCTCCGAATCCTTTCGCACCGCAAGTGTGTTACACTGTGCCCTCGCTGTGTGGTTGTGAGGTGTCAGGAAATGGGGCTGACCCACGGCACACTGGAGTCATAACAATAAGCTTTATACAGCAGATGCACTGAAATAAATGGAACCACCACGATGACAGCGGTCTACTATCAGCGGTTCTGCTTGCGATCAGACGGTGAACTGTCTCATCCAAGGTCACCACTGAGGACAGCAGGGGCTGTCGTTCACCCAGGGCGCTCTCACGAATCCAGAGATGACCCAGGCCCGCCCGGCCACCTCCCCCTTCCCCCATAACCTCACAGCCCCGGAGCTCCCAGGATGTGCTGCGTCCTACACGCCCGTATTTGACTGAAGCCAATGTGAGAACTTAGTGAGCTGTCCTGACGCTCCCCGGAGACCAGCGTCAAGAACCACGGTTTAAGGGGGACACAGCCCCACCTGCTCCTGCCTCTCTGCTGCGGGCCCAGGCGCGCCCACCACGCGCCCTGAGAACCCCTGGCAGTTTCCTCCCACCAGCTGCCGACCTACACTCACCCCCGTGCCAGCCCCTCTTCTTTCCCCTTGGGCGGCCCCCAACTTTCCTCTGCGGCCCCTCCCCGGGTGCAGGGCGGGAAGCCGCGAGGGAGCAGCAGGCTGTGGCCGTGAGGGGCTCTCCGGAGGCTGGGAACACCTGCCGGCCAGAAGGTCTCACCTGCCCCCGTCCTCCATCACACCCGCTGCCCAGAGAGGCGCTGCCGCACCCCCTCCCTCGAAGGGAAGACCCCGCCCGCTGCAAAGACCGGAGGGGACCAACCAGCAGTTTCCGACCTGCTTCCACGTCATCCATCACTTCGACACGTGCCAGGTTTGGGTCTGGGTTTTCCTGTTTCCCCCGAACAGGGAACAAGGGGGCCTAGGAGCCCTTTACACAACCAGCTACGAATTTCCCCAAAGTCATGGGTTCCAGCAGTAACTCCTCAGGGCGCTGTTGCTGGGCCCCTGGGGTGACCAGGCTCAGCACCCCGGCACCACGTTCCCTTTGCCTGGGACTCAGCCCCGCCTGGGGACCAAGCCATCAGGAGTGGGCAGGGGGGCAGAGCGCCAGCCCTGGTCCCTGGTGGAGGCCAGTGACCTGGCAGAGGTTAGTTAAGATGGTGGAGGCTGGTTACCCGGTGGAGACAGACTGGCTATCAGCTATGGAACCAGTGCCCGGCCGGCCCGCTCCCGCCCCCCCTCCCCTCCACCGGGAGCCTTGGTGGGTGGCGGGCGGTACTCACGATGGGGCTGGCGTTGATGTAGTCAGAGCTGCTGTGGCTGTTCTCTGATTTCAGCCGGATCCGGGAGTGGTCGTCTGCAAGCCCCAAAGCAGAGCGTTAACCCGTGCAGGGCGTCATCCAGCGCCACTGCTGTCCCCTGCCCCCAGGTCCCGCTGAAGGCCGTCACCGCACCTCCTCCCTCCCTCCCTCCCCCACTGAGGGTCCTTCAGCCCACGAAGTGGAGCGTCAGGGTGTGCGGGGAACCTCGTGTTTTTCTTGTGTCAAGTTCCAACGCCAAGGCTGGGTGCTCCCGGGCAGTAGCTCATGTAGTGTTTGCCTTTGAATAACACGTATTTGGTAACACAGAGAAAATAAACATTAACGTGGATATTAAGCTATTAGACCATCATTCAATACATACAATTCTGTCGTCTACAGAAGGTGAAATACTCGAGATTACAAGAATGTAGCTTTACAAGGAGCAAAGAGCAAAAGAAAATGCAGTGGAAGAGGGTGCGGGGAGCAGTGTTCACTGGGGACTCGCCGACACAGAAACGTGCCTAAAACGGGCAAAACAATTTGACGGGTGTTGAAACCAGATGCTCAGTGGGGATTAAGGACATGTGATCGGTCACAGCTTAATGTGTTTGCTATGTGAATCATCCCTAACTTTGGTTCTGGAGTAACCACCCTTCTGCGGTCAGTGACAGCTCTCTGCCTGTTTTCAGGAGCTTTCACGGCCAGCAGGGCATCCCCGAGAGTCCCCTTTTCTCCCACCTTCCTCCCCTTCCTCCGCAAGATGCAAACTTGAAAATGGGAAGTGCCGAGCTCCATCATCTTGTGCGGCAGTGAAAGCCTTCCGGCGGCCCCCACACCACCTGCTTCTGCTGAGAAAACAGCCTGGCTGCAGCCCTGGAGCTCAGGGTTTCCACGGCGGTGAGTGTTACCCCAAGTCCAGATTCCCGGCATTTCAGCCGCGTCTCCCCACTTCCCGCTCCCAGCCCTGGGAGCAGCTCGGCAGTGCGGTCAGGAGAGCACGCACGGGGGCTTTGCTGTGGTTTGTGTTTCTTTCCTTTCTCTGGGAGATTTTACTTATTTACTTATTTTTTGTTTTAAACAGTTCTGGGGCTTGGGAAACTTGGCGAGGCCTAAACTGATTGAACTTGGAAGGTATCATCCACTGGAGACTGGACGCCATCCTATCCGTCTTATTGAGGTATTAACGTTGGCTTTTTCCCAGTAGAGACAAGACAGGTAAGAAACATCTAGAGACGGGGAAGGGGTTCACGCCTGACATGTTTACCTGAGCACAGGTGACACGGACCAGACGCTGTGGAATGTTCTGAAGGTGTTTACAATGGCAGCTGCCAAAGCCCCCCGCTAAGCTGTGACCAACGATTCAAAAGTCCCCTGGACTCAATGGCTTCCGGGTCCTGCACAGATTTGTTCTTGAGAGACTGAAAATTGGCTGTGGCAGGAAGTTGAAATAAAACCCACAAGAAAAGTCGGTCAACTCAACTCTGACATTCCAAAGCGCTACAAACACTCACCCCAAAATGGAGTTCAAGAGGCCCAGTTTCTCAGTGTGTGTGTGTATGGGGGGGGGGCGTCCAGACACATCAAAGCCTGAGACGGTGCGGGCCGCTCGGAAGCCGGGCCCTTCTCTGAATGGGGACCGTGCTTTCTGCCCGCACACTGAAGCCTGGATACACAGAGCAGGGCTTCTAGCTGATTCCAAAGGGTTCCCGAGGGTCTCCCAGGAGCCCCCCTCACTGCAAATATTCTCCACAAGCCCACTTCAGGCATTGCTAATAGCAGCAATTGGGCTGCTCCCAGTGTCTGAGAACCCGCTACCCAGGGCAGGGCTGCTGTCCATCGTGACGGAGGGAACCAGGGAGAAGGGCCCGGAGCTTCAGAGGGTGCCAATCACACCCAGGGCGGAGTGGCCGCCTGGTCGCACTGAACAGGCCCAGGACTGGGGTGCTGCCGGGTCCCTCTCATCTCCACAGGGCCCTGCAAACAACCAGGCTCAGTAAACAAGTGCCAGCTGGATCTTCTAGTCGGAAAATCAAGAAAATGTGTCCTCAGTTTGGGAGTCTCGGTTAGCTTGAACCCCTATGGTTAATGGGAAAAACTGTTTTGAGCAGAGACGGAGGCTAAGCTTGCTGTGAGGACAGCTCCCAGCATCCTACGTCCCTGCGGGCACCGGTCCAGCCACCTTCATCCCCGCAGGGCACTCTTCCCAAGATGCCACTGAGCCTGGGACAAGGGCTTCCAAAGCTCAGAGTTCTACCTTCCCATCACATATTTCATATTGCAGCAATGTGTTGATTTAAAAATTAACAGTGGGGCTTCCCTGGTGGTGCAGTTGTTGAGAGTCCGCCTGCCAACGCATGGGACGCGGGTTCGTGCCCCGGTCCGGGAAGATCCCACATGCCGCGGAGCGGCTGGGCCCGTGAGCCATGGCCGCTGAGCCTGTGCGTCCGGAGCCTGTGCTCCGCGACGGGAGAGGCCACAACGGTGAGAGGCCTGCGTACCGCAAAAAAAAAAAAGAAATTAACAGTGAACTTGTTTTTTTTTTTAGTGTGGGACCATCTTGAACCTCCCTCTGAAACACCGGGAGCCATCCCAGAAGGGCCAGAGTCCGGCGGAGGGTAGGCTGATGTAGCAGGGACGGTCCAGTGGACATTTCACTCGGCAGGGCAAGTCTCAACTATTCTGTGGTTCAGGCTCTGTAACCGAGTTATTTTCCTCTCATAAGATCCACAGTAGTAAATTTTATCAAGGAGGGAAGGAGAAAAACACCTATTAAGAAGAAACTTGCTGAATTAACCCTCCGTGCCTGTTCCTTTTCTGAACCCCTGAAGAATTTATCGTGTACTGTTCCCGTGTTTAAGAACACGGTGCTTTGAATGTCTGTAGCATATTCTACCTGCCCTAATGTTTCACGTGTATTATCCTCCTTCTGCCTGGAACACTGTGCCATAGACAGAATAGAGTCCATTTTCCCATTTAGGTTGAAGAAACTGAGGCTCTAAAACATCAAGTAATTGGCTTGGCAAAGACCACAGAGCTAAGGGTCCGGGCTTGACCCAGCCTGGCCAAATGATTCAATATCTTAAAGTGTCAGATTTGTCATCTAAAATGTAGGATAACGATATTTAACTCACAGGCTTGTTGTGATAAATGGCTTCTGTAAAGTGCTCACGTAAGGCCTGGCAGAGAGCAAGGGATTTAGGAACACGTTCAAAAGATTACAGAGGGACACACACCTAACTGACAAAAAGTCAGCTGAACTGGCAGAACTCATTGTGTGGTATAGGATGAGTTGTCAGTAAATAAGGATGGTTTTCATAAATGCCAACAGGAGGAGTAAGCTCTAGAATTGCTTCTTGATTATGACTAGGGCAAAGGAGCCTTGGGGAGAGGGAGACTTTGGAGGACACTGTGGCTTAACCATTCAGGCTTCTTTCTAGCCCATGCCATGCGTAGCCCGTGCCCACGTTCGACCAGAACCCACCCAAGAAGAGTGTGTGGAGGCCTCCCCGGCCTGTGACATCATCTCCTAACATGGATCTTTAAGGATAGCGTTTCCTTAGCCTCCCTGATCGTGTCCCTCACACTGTCTGAGTGTACCGATATGTACATGAGCCGACGGTCTTCACTCCCCTAATAGACGAAGTCATTGATACTGCTGGCGGTAACACGAGTTAGGCATCTTTAGAAGCCATGAGTTGACACTGGCACTTGCCATGGGGATTTCTTCATCCGAGAGGTCTGTCAATATTCCCCTGGGGCCCTGCACCTGTCTCAGTTTTCTGTTAAGACTGAGATGAAACCATTACACTGGCTGATGGCATTTCCTCTACTTGGAGGGTATGGCTGGTGCAAGCATGCGGTGCGTCTGTGACGGGCCAGCCCTCTGCCTGGAGGGCTCCGAGTCTTCCATGGAGACCCCACACACCGGGCTGTGCTCACAAATGGCACCACCGGCACCACTTCCTTCCTGAATTTCCTGGGTCCCCGGACGGGTGAGCAAACCGCAAACGTCACCTGAACGTCTCGACCAGCTGTTAACGCCAGACTCAGGCTCCCAGCCAGTGACACCTGGAAACGTCTTCATTGACTTGGCCTTGTCACAGCTGAGGCAAAGCCGTGAATGTCTGTATCACGTCTGTTGCAGGACTCTGAGAAGCTAAGCGGACGACACGCTTCTCCACAGACCCGGGAGCTGGAGGGTTGACGGCGTGAGCGCAAAGCACTTTTGCTCCGAGGCGGTGAGTCCTCCTTGGGGTTCAGCTCACACTTATTCCACCGGCGCCCCTTCCTCAGGAAGCCCGTGAGCAAGGGCTCTGCTCCCGTGAAGAAACCCACACCTCAAACCGCAGGACCATCAAATGTTTAAGGAGGAAAGCAGACACTCGTGCTCTGCACCGCCGTTGGCTCAGTGCCAGGCAGACCGGGGCGTCTGGGGCCCAGGGTCAGCACACCTGCCGGCCCCCACGGCGGCAGGAAGACAGGCTGGTTCCGTTCCTACCCAGGAAGCTGCCCTGCAGGTGACGGCCCACAGCCAGAGGCTCACGGCTGGCTTCCCGGCTCCAAACACGCCCAAAGCAGGTCCCGGAGGCACACGCGGCCTGAAACGTGGTCTGAAGACTTCATCTCGTGTCTCATTTCTTACTTACACCAGCATCTCTGTGGCTCTCTCAAAAAGCAATCCCAAAATAGGATCACCACCCAGCTCGGCGGGTGAGTGACCATATAGGCGGGTGACAGGGGCTGGAGCACAGCAGGAGCCCCTGTTCTAACCTTGCTGCTCAGCATGTGCAAGGAAAAGGTCCCTCTGGGCTCGGCCTCTGTGCTGAGCAGAACAGGCCCAAAGGTTTCAGGTAGTGGCCTGGCACTGCCCTGCCAACCACTGAGCCGTCCAGGGGTGCCTGGTGTCGAAGGTTGAATTGTGTCCCCCCCAAAAAAGATGTGTGGGTGCACTAGCCCCCAGGACCTCGGGATGTGGCCTTATTTGGAGATGGGTCTGTACAGAGGGGATGGAGTGACAACACGGTCATATGGGTGGGCCTCAGCCTGTGCCTGGCGT